AAAAAAAAATAAACGTAACAAATGGATAATAAAGAATAGATCTATCAGTATTTTGCATATTTTTCCACAATTTTCACTTTTTTTTATCAAGACTTTTGCATTCGTCTTTATGAATGATTTTATCAGTCCGAAACTATCTATAATGTGAAGTATTCAGAAGAATCGAAGGCTTAATTATTTGAACAAATGAACATTATTGTTAATTAATAAGACAGAAATTGTCGAAATTCTTTTGAAACTTTGTATATATGATCATTTTTTGAACTCTTTTTCGATTCTGATTATTTATGAAGAAATATTAATTGTTTTCCATATCTAGAAGAAGTATCTCTATAGTTTATTTTTTCAAAAAAGTAACGTTCTGTTTTATAGCATGAAAAGTAAAAGTACACCAAAGAGGGTAATAAATACAAAGTTTCAAAAGCATTTTGACAATGTCTATCTTATCAATTAATACTAATGATCATTTGTTCAAATAATTAAGTCTTCAAATCTTCTGAAGACATCATTATAGCTAGCTTCGGATTTATAAAAGAATTTTGAATCTGTTCGTTTCATTGAATCTAATTAAATAAGGCATGCTGTTCCTTTTAAGTGAAAGATACAAATTTATAAAGAATCGAACAAGAAACCTATTAACAGCGGAATTATCTCGTTATATTGGAAGGCTGCTGAGATAGATGTGAAATAGTGACGAGAGAATATTCCCAGATGTCCGTGTCTTTTTGAGCTGATTTCGTGCCTATGAGCATTTCTTGCTGACTTTTGAATTATTCGAGTATTATTCAGTGCTCGTGAAAGTAATGGCAAATGTTTTTTTGGCGACCGTTAAAAATTAGAAGGTTGTAAATCTTTTTGAATGCGAATTAAACGGTAACTGGATTCTATTTGATCTTTCAACATTTTTTGTTCAGTACCGTTTTCATTAGAACAGTAACTGCTCATCTTCATAATTTTCATATGAAGTCGATTGTACATTATTCAGCAGTACAATAAATGCTTATGTTCCGAGAGAAAATCATGGCGAAATTTTTATCTCGTATTTTATATAATGATTTTGTAAACGATTTTTGAAAGTATATTTTTAATATTCTAGAATAATGTATTCATGTTTAAAGCAAATATCTGATCATTTACAATGTGAACATGTTTGTATAACATTATCAAATCGTATAATTGCATCAAGTACAGGATGGTCACGTTTAACTCAAGCTGAACAACATGTTTTAACACTTCTTATTGCATTAAATGATTATTCAAATGATATTTTACCAATTGTTCGTGATATGCCCGTCTATCTTGATTCAATTGATCGTTCACATAATTATCGTTTACTTTCTATTCGATTACTTGGTCAAATATATGTATCAATACTTTGTTCAACAACACCAAAAATGAGTGAATTTGAAACTGTTGTTGATCGATATTGTCATTCACAAACAGAACATATACAAAATTTAAATAGTCTTTTATATCCACGTTCATTTCATGATAATATTGTTTTCGATCATAATATTCAAGCACTTTTATATATTAATCGGCAAACACATTTTTGTGTGAGTACATTAGAACCAATAAAAAGCAATACACCATTATCAAGAACGATTAAAAAACATCGTTATAGACTTTTAAAACAATTCTATATGGAAATAGTTCGAATGGATAAAGAAAAATTATTATCATTTGATAATATAAAGAATGAACCAAGAATGAATGAAATGTATATGGTAAATGATGATGATGATCAAATTGAACATAAATGTTATTTTCTTCGAGAACAAGATTATTTTGAATTATATGTTTTATTTGATGTAAACATTCCAACACTGGCAATGAGAGGAATTGCAAAAAAAACATTGTTAATACTTAGAAAAAATTTGTGATACTAGTTGTTTTATTAGTGTTGTATTATTTCAGGAATTTAGAATTTTTTTGTAGCAATTCTTAAATATTCAATGTTATATTTTAGATAGTCAATGGCTTCGACAAATATTGAAAATACAAACGATAATATTACGACATCAGTTGATCAACAGGCATCAACAACTAAGAGTGTACCAATATATAATGCGTCTACATCTCATCAACATTCTCATTCATGTAATGACCCATCTCATCATCATCATCATCCATTATTTTTTGATCAAAATGATGAACACTCATCGGCAACAGCTGCCAAAAATGAAATGTTAATGAAACGCAAGACGAAGAAAACTCAAAAACAAGATGTAACACGTGCTGAGCTCATCCCAGGTCATCAAGGTGATAAAAATATAGATGAACTGCTCAATTTTATTAATGGATCATCATTAGCAAGCAACAATACTAATAGTAAAAAATCAAAAAAGAAATCGACAACAAACAATTGAAACTTTCTTGCAGTTTTTCATTTTGTTACAACATATTCATAGTTATTCTTTTGTGCTTACGTACATTTTTATTAACAACTCAGTAAACAAGACCAGTCTAATTGATAAAACATCACTAAAAAAAAAAAAATTTTACGTTTCGAAAAGAAAAAGACTCATAAAAAAATCACAAGATTTAGCAAAAAGGTTGCAATCATTGAAAAGATAGAACTACATAAAATTGTATGTGTTTGTAAATGATGAGATTTACGGATTTCGAAGATTTATTCTTTATTTTATTGCTCATGAACAAAATCTTCATTCTAAAGTTGATGCTTAGAGTAAAGAACTAAGACTGTTAAGTAACAATGACATTTGATTGTTTTTCAGCATTTTATTTATTAAATTTATTTTTTGAATTTTCCTTTCTTTTCGCAAAACTATAGTTCATATGAAAAATAATCAAACGTTATCCAATGAGCAGGGCTCTCAAATAAGATAATATGAATGCACTACGGCTTGTCCACATAATGGACCATTTCAAGCGTTTAGTATTTATTGTAAAATCCGAAACAAATGTTTCTGCCATATTGTAAAGCAAATGCGAAAGTGTAAAAAAAATGTATTTTGTTGTTCGAAAAATTAGTTTTGTGAATCTTGAAAAATGTATACAATAAGTACTAATTGATATTTATCGTTTGTTGCGATTTTTTTCTATCCTACTTTGAAACTAACTGTGCACTTTAATGCCAAGCTCCAAAACCACGCTATCAAATATTTTGTAAACTATCAAGTACGGCCTTTCTTGTGGCAAAATAATAAACTTAAATCTTTTCCTCTACATTGAAATATTCTCATAATAAAACTTGATTAATTTCGCTTTAACAGCGTTAAAAATAGATCTTATTTTAAAATTTCAATGAGCTATGTACAGAACACCAGTCAACATACTAGTGGATCACAATGAACTTGTAACAGAGGTTCTGATTCACTACTTTTTTTCTCAAAAATATTGAATATTGATGTAGATAAATGTAACGCTGTTACGAAAACCTGATTTTTGGTAATTACTATTTTCAGTTTATATAATTGAACAATAGTTTCAATATTGCAAATGTCAGATAGCAACTGCGTAGAATTCAAACCTAATTTTGATCTTTGCTTTAGCGATGAATCTTTCCAAAAATCTGTAAGTTTTGGTAATTTTTTAATTGTTCTGACTATGATTAAGTTTAACGGCAATAATTTACATTTATTCTACCTGTTTAAAAAAATGAGAAGCTATAAAATATTGCTAGTAGAAATTTACGCTTTCTAGTACTTTTAGCTTTTGTTTTTCTCTGTATACATGTGTTTAGGTACACTCTAAGAAAATCCGTTTTCTTGGAATCCTATAAGAGGTTTCTGGATTTATCACTATATGAAACCCTTTATAGGTTTCTGGGAAAGAGTTTTTCACCTCTCGGAAACCCTCAAAAACAATAAAAAAAGCTCAAGTTCCCTGAAACGCAGTAGAACTTTTCGAGACTTTGAAAACCTTGTATAGGTTTTCAGAAGCTATCCGCAAAACAATTCACTAATCCAGATATGTCACCTTATTCTAATCCCTTATTCTATCCTCTTAATCTAACCCATTATTCTAACTCTTAATCTAATCTCTTATTCTATCTCCTCATTTCAATCATTATCTAAGTCCTGAATCTATATCTACCCTCTCATTCTATCCCCTAAATATATTCCCTAATCTAACTCCTCACTCTATATCGAATCCCTTATTCTATCCTCTTACTCTAATCCCATAATCTTACCCCTTTTTCTATTCTCTTACTCTCAGTCCTTATACTAACCCCTAATCTAAGTCATAAACCAATATCTATCCCTTTATATCAGCTGAAGATCTAAAGTCTTTAAATTTGTCAAGGACTTAAACAAGATATCGATCAAAATGCTGTATCTGTTGAAAGATAGACACACGAACCTAATGAAATCTGTCAAGTGTTCTCGTTTTCCAAATTCACGGTTATGAAGCCAGTGAAATCGTTAGAAGTTGGAAGTCTCCTAAACAGAATGGCATTAATTTAGTCTGAGTTCTGAAGTCTTCATGTTTCGTAAAACCGACGTCGTGCTTTCAGTCTTATTGCTATAGTCTTCATGTATCCCACCAAAAGACTGAGTGAAAAGGTTAGTCTTAATCCTGTTGTCTTGCTGTATTTGAAAATCATAATCACGAAGTTAGTTTCAGTCATGGAGTCTTTAGGTTTTTCGAGCAAGAGTCATGAAGTTAGTCTTGTGTCTTGACATCTCCCAAAAATGTCGTCGTAAAGCCAATTAAAGTTTATGTCTCTTAAAGCTATTACTATGAAATTAGTAAATCTCATTACGTCTTAAATCCTGTCGAATATAGAGTCATGAAGTCAAGTAGAATCATACAGTGATGAAAGCTTTTTGCGTATTGAAGTCATAGTCTTCAATGCAGCCTGACTTCTGGTGTCGGTATCACTGTCGAAGGCACAATATTGATGTCATTTTGAGTTTGGGGGTCTCTAGTTTCGTTACAGTTGAAGTGTAACTTTCGGGTTCGCGGTTTTTTCGAACCTTTTGCCGGATAAGTTGGGAAAACTATATTCTTCGATATGAAGAAATAAATATCTATCTTTTTTCAGAATGCTTCCAAGGTATTTTACTTTGTTTATGTCTTCAAAAAGAGAATTCAGAAAAACGTCAAGTTATTTTTGAAACGATACGTCATGACATTCTCTACAATAGGTGAGCACACAAACTCTTGCGACTTGTGCTGATAGATTTGGAGAGAGCTAAAGGAAAAGGTTTATGAGAGTCCTAAAGTTTCTGACTGTCCAGCATTTGTCTTTTTTCAGCTAAATAACAATCATATTTCGTAGACATTTCATTCTTTCCCACTATTTTTGATCATCAAGATGCTTACTTTGTCGAAATGATGACATTCAGAAATTAATTTTTGTACATTTGATTAGATTTAGATAATAAATGTGTTTTTTTTAAAGCGTTTACATCGATATCAAAGTGAGCACCTACAACATCTGATATATTTTTTTCTTTTAGCTCTCTCCAAATTTATTAGCACAAGCCAAGAGAATCTTTTTTTTGACTATTATACAGAATATCAGGACGCATGTTTTGAAAAAATTTAAGATTTTATCATTTACGTTCGTTGAGATATATGGAGAATAAATGATATTGCAAACGTTTCGAGACACCTTGTATTTGTTTTACATTATCTCGGAAATGGAGATTTTTTCATGTTTTTCATCATTCCTCTCCTGCCACTCTTCTATATAAATCGGTTGAACGGATTCTCAAACGATTGAAACTTTCACTATGTTTCGCGGCAATCTGTGGACAAGGATGGCATGCTGGTACTTGGATGAAAAATAAATGAATCAAGAAGGAGAAAGACGACATTCTTTTTATGATCTGACGTTTTAATACCGCTTTATTATCCTTCCAGTAATATTTGTCATAATCCATTCACGTTTGTAGATACTGAAAAATGTAAAAACGAGTCGAAATTCTTTCGGAAACAAAGTATTTTTGAATTCTCAGAGTTCTTATGGTTTTACACAACAATTTCACACACATTGAATATGTTTTATATCATGCATGTCGAGCGATTCGTAAATCTCTAAAATAACGATGGGAACATGAGAATCAAAAAGAAGATATTTGAAGGTTATTTTGGTGTTTCAGAATACTAGATAGGCTTCTGAAATTTTTTCTCGGAACCGCAAAGGTTTTCGAGAAGGTTTTTAAATCAAAAGTGATTGTCGGAAACAGCACCAAGGTTTCTGAAAATACGGTTGAGGGTTCTCGAATCTATCTTTCCAAAATTCATAGGTTCTCAGATGCTCGAAAGTCTAGAAAGTATTTTCAGAAACTTCACATGAGTGTGAATACGTTTATAGGTTTTTGGAAAGGGTTTCAGAAGGGATTTCAACTTCTAAGCAAAATTTCTTTTTAGAGTGTTCTTCATACGATGAATATCATGTAAAAAAAACTTTTCAAGAACCTGCATTTGTGAATAATTAATATAGTATTACGATAGACAACAGTCCAGAAATTCTACAAATATCTCATGATAGTAACGAACACACTCGAGCAACGAACTAACACGGTATAGACATCTATTACAGAACGAAAAAACCCAACCTTCATCATATTACTGCTCCTTACTATTCCAACATCAATTATAACTAATTCGTGGGTGATTACAGCTAAACAGGATCTTCGAAAACAAGATTGAATATTCACATATAAGAAAAACATAATTTCAAATGTATTTATTCACTTTGTATTATTTTAAATGACGCAGATATATGATTTCTCTATTTCTTACGTTATTTTAATGTCACTCAATTTTCAACTTCATCAATTTCTTCACACTTAGATTGCTGTTGAATCTTCATCGGGTCGCAATGCTTCGATCAAAGTCTTAATTGGTACTGACACTACGATTGGAGCTTAATAAGGTCACAATGTTTCGATCAAAGTCTTGATTT